GAACCAGGTCGTCTGCAAACAGCAACCTTCTCGACTTAACATCTCCTATACCAATACCCTCGTCGCCTTGGCAGCTCCTGACTATTCTATCCATATGCCACACAAACAAGATAGGGGACAGGACGCAGCCTTGGCGGAGACCAGAGCGAACGTTGAATGGTTTCGACTTAACGCCATTAACACTGACGCTGCACCTGCTATCAGAATAACGTGGTTAGATGGCCCCTAGCAGCTGGCTATCTATCCCGTCTGTACGAAGGCATGTCCGCAGACTGTTGCGTGGGATCCGGTCATACGCTTTCTCTAGGTCCACAAAACACATGTACAAAGGCTGGGCGTACTCGCACAATTTCTCAACAATCTGGCGCAGCGAAAATATATTGTCAGAGGTGCTTCGACCGGGCCGCAAGCCGCACTGCTTTTCTTCGTTTTTGAGGTCAATTATTTCACGACATCTCGTTTCTAGCACCTTTGCGTAGACTTCACCTCAGAGGCTCAATGACTTTATGCCCCTATAATTGGAGCATTCCCTTCTTGAATACGGGTACTATAACTCCCGTTCTTCAGTCCGTTTTTGGACTCTACTGAACTTTTTGACGATCAATCGGTCAGTGTGGGCCACTACTTCGAATTAAGTCCTGTTTTACACTACATCTCTGTTTGCTCTTAGTTATGTAAACGCTTAAGTGACATTTATAAAGATCAAAGTGTAAAGCAATCATCAAAAGTTAACGTCCGTCTAAACTAACGGTGTAAAATATACGGTAGCTTAAACTGTGTTGATTTGTGTAGCGAACGACCCCGTCTACCACTGGATTGTAGAATGCCGAAAGCTTTCAGCTAAAAAATGGACGAGTCGGATGAGCAATTGGAAACTTTAAAAGATGTAGATGTTTTGACAAAGCAGATTTTCTACCGTCTAAATTCCATCACTTACAAGACGGTGGTCGTTCCAGTGATGAACCCAACTTCCAACGCAATCGGTTTCATGGTAAAGGTTTCATCCCGTAAGTACATGTCTGCAAACCCAAAGTACGGGATTCTAGAAAAAGGCGAGCATGAACTTATCGAAATATCATTTCATCCTATGCCCGAGGAGAACAAAGGTCGAAGCGAGGAACATGAGCTTGTGACAATCATATTTGCTGTGATGCCTAAAAATAAAAATTTTAAAACTCCTTCTGACATATGGACAGATCTGGACAACCTCCCAAAACCCGTGCGTTGCGTAGAGATTCCCATTATTTACATTCCTCCTAGACCTGAGGAATCAGCTCCTAAGAAGGAGGCCGAGAGAAGACAACCTGATCAAGCGGTGTCAGCAGAACCTCTAAAGCGTGAAGCGAAAGTTGAACGTGCAACGGAAGAAGAAAAAACTACTCGGGAAGCAAATGGAGGTGAGAATATGGAAAAGAGTGAACAGGCAAAGATCGCAGAACAAGAAGGAGAAAAAAGTCAACTCACTTAATGATCTGTATTCATGTATGCGCAGCTGATTCTTCGTACAGCTAAAGAATTTAATAAAGTATATCCCATAACAGTTGTGCGCTCGTCAACAATAAATAGTATTACGAATCAAAATGTTCAGAATCATATTTAAATTAAATTATACTTTAGGTTTTTGATTCTGGTTCAAAACCATGAGTCATTCAAACACTTATCTATTATCCATATTTTGATTAAAGACTGTTTACCATTTAATGGAGATCAGTGGGCGGTTACAAGACATGTTGCTCTGCTCAGTAATAAGATTAAATATCATTTTTGTGTAACCATAGAATCTGTAAATATTTTTATAAATAAACCCAGAACATCGAGGTTTTATTTTGTCACTCCTTTACCTACGGATCGTGGCAATCTTTTTTGGTAGAACATACTTTTGTTTAACCCAAGTTTGAGATGCGGTCCTGCATCCTATGCACTGGAGGCGCTTAAATACCATGGAACTGCGGCCTGCCTAAATGGTCTCATTATGTGTCACCATGCAAGGGTACAATGGTGCTGCTGGTGTAAAGTGAAAAATACATTTTTCTTTCCTTAGACTGTGCATTTTTGCCGTTTCAATCCGGCAGCATCATTTTAAAAATATAAATATGTTTATCGTCAATCATTTTTCGTAACTCGGCAATAAAACCATTTCAACGAAAACAAAACCCCCGATATTTTGTGGTAGACTCCATAACTGGAGCTTTTGATACCACCGTCGATACTCAATGTTAAATTTTAAACTCTATGATTCCGGATTTAAACAACGAAAGCGTACAGTGTAAAAAATACATTACACCGATACTATGATAGTGTAAGTCAGATGGAAATCTCATACCTGACCTCGCATCATTGCACCGCCCCTTTGCTTCTAGAATCCTTTAAGGACCATTTTAGTAGGCCATGGCTAAGTGGTATTTTAACACCTGTAGTGCATAGGATGCTTGACCGCATCTATTAAATACCATGGAGCCGTGGTCTGCTAAAATGGTCCTCCTATGATTCCTGAAGCAAAAGGGGGGTGCAATGATACGATGCTATCAGGTGTGAGACTTCCGTTTGTCCTGCAATATCGGTGCAGAGTAAAAAACGTATTTTTCCTCCTTTAACTGTACTTTTCGCCATTTCAACAAAACTTTTTTGAGTTATTAAGGTCATTTACTTTTGGTGCTTGTATATTGTGTCAAAGCTGCGATGGTTTGGACATGTGTTCCGAATGCCTCCAGAAAGGAAGGCTATGCAACTGTCCCTTGCAAATCCGACCCGTAGAAGGCCCAGGGGACGGCCAAGATTAACCTGGTGCAAATATATGGAAAGAGTCTGCTACATTTGCCGAAGCTTTGACTCTGGCACAGGATCGGGAACGTTGGAAGCTCCGTCTGACGCGCTTCTGCGACCCGTCTAAGACAGCAACTCGTCTAAGAAAGCCCATTTCAGCAGCTTGTACCCGGGT